CAACGAATAGTGACATTGACCATCACATTATAACGCCCCCACAGCTGAAAGGACGAGCATGTTTGATGTGACGGGGATTCGAACCCGCGACCCCGCAGATTGTGAGTCGAGCGCCCCCTAACCACCTGGCCATGCCGGGCTGCGTCCCGGAATAAACAGATTCACAAAATACGTTATTCTGAAAACAAACGTATTTCGTTTGATATAGAATATTTTCGTGTTTATTTGTTTGAGTATGATTTTTTGTTGTTGTTGTTCTTTATTATTTTTTACTTTACAGTTATCAGTTTGAATTATCATTTCAGTTAACTGAACGACGTGGAACTCAATTTTAGTTCAGCATCACAACCATGGGTGGCGCTGCGGACCAGTCCACAGCACCAGAGCCACGAATTTATTTTAGATAACTTCGAACAAAATGCATAAGAAAAAAAAAAAAACGGCTCTGTATTTTCTTTGTTGGCTATAACTCCGCCATCTCTTGACAGATTTGAGATCTAATTATAGTTTTGGACTCAAGAGGTCCAAACTCTTTCGATGGATATACTTGACCACACCCAAAGTCTCATAGATTAATCTAATCCTGCCTAAAATAATTTCATCTTGAGGGTAGGCTGGTAGAGATCCTGATGAGTAATAAAATCGTATCGGCTATACGCACGCCCCACGCTTGGTATTTATTGCTGGCGCACAAAAATATAGCTAATAAAAAGGGAAAACAAAGGTCTTACAAATTAATTTCCTCTAATCCTACTCAAAATAATTTCAAGTGCCGCGGCTACTGAAGATTCCTTCTTGTAGGTATAGTAAACGTCAATCCTTCACAGTCCAAAGAATTATAGACCGTATAAACTCCAGATCGCCTTCCCACGGCGACTCAGCTGTACCGTCTGAGGGATTATAACGCTAAAAATCAGGTTTCGATACCCGCAGAGGACAGAGCCCAGATAGCCTATTTCGTAGCTTTGCGCTTAGCTCTAAACAAGCTCTAAATCCTTTCTATTGCCAGCAACGGCTCTGAACGAGTACACGAGCATAGCACAAACACATACTACGGACATACAACGCTAAAATCCAGGGCTCGATTCTCCGCGTTGGACACTCCAGGTAGCCCCATGTTGCTTTGCTCTAAAACAAAGAAATAAACATACATAAGAGCGCCTTATCATACGAAATGTGTCTCATGTGACAAAACGATAAAATGTTTACATTTTGAAACATGATATGTGGTTTCCTATTCTGCAGAAACCTGTATTAAACA